ATAATCAACTTAAAAGCCTTCAGGCAGATGTAGGTATAATACTGCCTGATCTGAAGCAAATACAAGATGTACTCCAAAATGACTACTCAAGAAATTGTACTTCTGTTTTGGAGATACAATTCCAAAGCTGCTGAAGAAGTACAAAAATCTCTCTTTCGTAAGTAAATATCATAAAAATCTAGCAATATTATTATCTTGTCCTTTGCCCGAGTATCTAGGTATTTTGCCATGCATATGGAAGTACGTCTCTGCCATATTTTTCTTTAATTATCATATATATCCAGAGTCATTTTGCATATTACCTTTAATCAAGCTGAATAAAAGCCTGTTAACACTGAGATTAATAGTCAGTGATGTAGTTTAACTGATAAATTCTAATTTCATCATCCAGCTCTTAAAATTTAGAATTCTTGGAGATATTGAGGGCTCTAACTCATGATTCCTCTCAGGTTTAGCTACGTTAGATGTAGCTAAACCACTTTTTGCTGTCCTATTGCAGCTAAATCTCACAATTTTAAGCCTCTCCTGCCTGACTGGACTTTTCTGCTGGCTTCTTTTCTTAGAAGAAAGGAAAATCTGGTGAGCTAAGGGAGGAAGCCTCTGATCCATGTGCCTGCTTGTCTCCTAGGAGTCTGATTAGCAGTAGTTATGTTTGAGATGGCAGAAGAGAAAGCAGTCTTCCTGCTGTGAGGTAAAGAATCAGCGTGCATGGCCCTGGGAGGGCAGACATCAACGTTGCTTTCATGGAGAGCGTTGAGGTGGCACGGTGATGTTTAGGAGGCTGTTACTAAAGAGAATCAGTAAGGTAATAAGGTAATAAAAAGCTACCCCGGGAGCTGCACTTGTGAAATCAGCCTTGTAGCCGAGGAGAAAGCGAAGAGAATAAAGTTATGCTTGATGGAGAGAAGAGCAGAGGAAAGGCAAAGAGAAAAGATACTCTGATTCTCCACATCAGCATGTGAGGACTTTCTGGGTAAGGTCCACCTTGTATCTTGATCTAGAAGAAAGCAAATCAAGAAGTTAAGCCACAAAAACATGCAATAGTGTGTACTAGTGTCATGTTGGTTTCTGAACAGCCATGGAAGGAAGAGGCATCACCTCTCCTGAGCCTGGGTGAACTAACTCAACAGAAGAATCTTTCCATTTAAGTCTTTCAGAGTTGATGTGATCCAAGTGAGAAAATGCCATTTGTTTCGTGTGCTCTTTGAAAGCCAGTATCTGATGTGAGAGGCCACCTTTTGGGGAACAATTCTTTTGTGCAGTGCACTGTTTATATTAATACAGTCAATTGAAACCCTGGAAGATTAAAGTAAAGTTTGTTTTGAGTGTCCCATTGATCTTAAAAATCATTCAAATCAATACGAAAATATTTTTGTAATCATTTATTCAATTCTTTCCCTTAATGCAGCTTCAGAACTATCAGACCTATCAGCACCCTCTTTTTTGCTAGCTCTTAAGGCTTTTAAAACCTGCAGCAAGCCACACTGTGGTTATCGACTACAATACCTGTTTATTCCTGAAAAAGTATATCATGATGAGTTTTATCCATGAATGGTACATTCTTTTGCCAATAATGTTTAGCAGAGGCAGTGATGTTATGCTGAAAGTACTGATTTTAGACCTCTGTCTAAAATGCTTTGAATCACATCAGAGGCTAATAAAGTGTTTTCAGTATAGAATTGCTAGAGAACCCATTTGTGCTTAGATGAATGTTTGATGCAGTGCTGAGTTTTATATTGCTTGAGAATTTGTGGAGTTGAACCTTTATCTGATAATGTTTTTTCACATCCTGTCCATTTAGCACAGAATAGAAGAATATTTAACTTGCTCAGACCCCTTGATTGTTACTAAGCTTCTTATAGATAAAGTATCTGTGTCATGGGTGCAAGGAGATCTCCTGCATTAAAATGGAGAGGGAAAGATACTGTTTATTTGTCCAGCTAATCTGTTAGCATATTGACTCCATTGACTGCAATTTTGGCAGATAAATACCTGTGTCAAATACAAAAGATACTTGAATTGTGAAACTGTCTGATGTGAATAGGTTAAACAGATATTATTTTTGCATATGGCTGTATTATTTAAGTGGTTGTCACTGGGGAACGGGAAGGGAAATAATTCAGTATTTATGTATTGCTCAGCGCAGGGAGAGCATGAACCTTTTTATGTTGATCTGTGCGCTAATACATAGGGCACAGCTCTTATCTATAGGCTGGAGGTCCATCTGTGTGCTTTGGGGAGCTGCTTAACTTTGCGTTTCTATTTTCTCGTTCTCTTCAGCCCTACTTGAAGCAAAGAGGCAAATGGAATTTCTCACTGTAGCTGGTACTATTTCTGCAAGCTTAATCTATGATATATCAAATCTAGACTGTTTCACTGAAATATTTTTTGACAGATTGCTTCTATGGATAAGAATAATTGTTCTAAAAAGGGAGGATTTTGTTTAGGCGCGTAACCACAAATATCTTATAATTTTTGACTAAATTATACTCTGAAAATTCTTGTAGACCTTACCTCTCTTGCTCATTGATGCGCCCAACATTACCAGAATGTGAAGAGCAAACTTTCCTTGCTGTTTTACTCTGATAGTCCATTTTAATCTCAAAATCTGTGAAATGCAAATTTGAATTCTTTAATAAGCACGTATTTTTATCAAACATAAAATTACAAGTTTATGAAAAAAGCTTGTTGCAGAACAGTATAAGAAGTACTGAGCGAGACCTGTTTTACCTCTATTGCATGTGCTAAAAGTCAAGGACCAAAAAGTTCTGGAACAGGTTTAACAGGTCAACAATCTGGCCAAGTAATACACCCCCTCGATGTTGTTTTGCCTACTGCTGTTTTAAAGAGTTGTAAACTCCTGCTCAAATTTGTTGTTTCTGAGCTTTTAAGAGCAGAAATAGCCTCTTTTTACAGTCTGTTTTGCTTCTCTTGTGTTATCTGAATTACTGGTGTGCTGGAGTTGAAGATTAGACATCAGATATTACATTGATATCCTTGGATTATGGAGACCCTTCTCCATAAGGTGTGTGTGGGGGGGCGTGCTTCAGAGGTTTTTTTGCTTTACTGTGATCTCTCTGTATTCTGCCCTTTAAACCAGTGCTCTTCTCATTTCTTCAGCAGGGTCAAGTGTAGGGCCCCTAAAGTTTGCAAATTTAAAGGTTTGCAAACTTTCAACCTTGCAAATGTTTAAACTTAATGTAACTATTCGTCCATCACAGAAGAGACATTGGAGAGGGGGGAAGTGATGACACATTAAAGAAATGTGAATGCTTCTTTTCTCTCTAAACAATTGGAAAGACAAAGGAATATTTCCATCTTTGGAAGTTCTTGGCCTTCTCTCACATAATTTTCTCTTTTTTGAGAGCTGTGTTGCTCTCAAAAGCTAAGTGTGTAGCTAAATTGTATCTAACATAAATTTTCAAAACAAATGTGTAAATTGTAAATCATTGTGCTCCAGGGCACCACGATGAATTTTTAAAAGAACACCCAAATTTCTCTTATTTTTTGAGAAAAAAAGCAGCATTTGGGCTGATGAATGGGGCAGACATTTGTCACTGAAACTAAGTTTAGTGTACAGGGTCCTTGCTAGTGGTATGTGGGTTTGTGTGTTTTGGAATGTGAACCAAGGAAGCAAATAATTTTGTAGACATAGGTAATGTAGATACAGAACATTTATAGATGTAGCTTATATAGATATAGAATAGCATCAGGTTGCTTAAAATTTTAGATGCTGTTGGTTGTATTGGATTCCTATAGGTGAATCAATCTGTAGAATTAACGGTCAATATGGAGATCACTCATTTTTCTCCTTTTCCAGGTTATGTCAGTTGCTATGTTCTTGGGAAGAAGCTAAAGAAAAAAGTCTCTGTCATCGAAAAGTCCTAAGAAAAGCACTAGCTCCTGATCTTTATATTCATTCTTTCAGGCAGCAGACTAGACAGAAGTGTACGCTGTACAAGAACAATTTGATAAAGGAAGCATCTTATAAATGTGTTTCCTGTGTGCAAAGGCCTACAGTTTAAATGAACATAATCTGCAGCAGACACCGTACTGTTCAGAAAGCTGTCTGTGTTTTCTAGTTTCTTTGCCAACACCTAGGGAGTATAGAATATTTGTCCTGGTTTTATTACTCAAAGGTATTTTCACCACTGTGTCCCATATAATGAAAAGAGAACTAAATATCTTTCTTGTACCCAGATTAGACACACAAAGAAGGAAGGTTTGTTTTAAAAAATGACACAGTTAAAATTATAGAGGATGATATACTAGTTATATCCTTTTAATAGAAGGATTAGAATTTTACTCAATAAAGTGCAGAATACTAATTCAAAATGTCTAAAGGCTAAACAAAAAGAAATTAAAGCACACTTTTGGTTCTGAGGTATGTACCTTAGTGTCACACAGATACGCTTCTCAAATTAAGAAGCATATCTCATTAAAAGAAAACGAATATTTTCATGTAGTCAGCTTGGCATTAACAATGTACATAGTAAGACAGATAGGAAGACTTGTCATTTGGCATGCAAAACCCTTGGTACTGTTCAGCTTCTGAAGAGTCAGGACAAAATCCTATCTGTCTAATTACAGATTTTAACCAAGTGATAAAAAAGGGAAAATTAAAATCAGAGTTTTTGTGTATGGTTTGCTGTGTCTATTTCCACTGCATTTCTTACTAGGTTTGGGAAACATTTTCAGTATTTTTTTCCATTTATGCGTGAAGCTGTGTCTCTGTTATCTGCTACTTAGATGGAATACTTTCTGGTTAGTACATAAGTTCTAAACATGAGTCTTTTATGAAACCCAAATTTCTTTAGAATTTCTTATTAGTCTTTCTTTAGAGCTGCAAAGCTGAGGAAACATGTCTGATCCCACAAAAGCTAAATTCTTTGGGCAAACTGTAAAAAACATTACAACTAGATTATACAATCCAGATATTTAACTTGTATTTTGGTGGAGCCCAATGTCACCTGCTGCATTTGTCTTCCATTGTGTTACAGAACAGGAGCAAACGCCTGGAGAAAGTCCATGTTGTTCTTGGGAATAAATCCTGTGATTTGGATTCTCTCATTTCTGCTCTGACCTATGCCTACTTTCTAGATAAGGTAAGGAAAGAAATGCAGAAAAGGATCATAACTAATTTGTTATAGACATCTTATTGTTAAGCAAATGGAAACATACTGTAGAAAAATAGTTGGGACAATGATTTTGTTACAGTCAAAGGTGAGATTTTTAAATAGAAAGAATCTAGATGTCTTTTTTCCACATGGAAGTTAATGAGCGGGCATACACTAGGAGGCTTGTTCAATAGGAACAAAAATCACTGCTGTGCACTTGCCAGTGATTTATATATCAGCTACATTTGATTTAAGCAATGCATAGATTGCCTGCAAGTCTCTTCAGCACCAGTATGGATTACACCCTGAGGCCTGCAATTCAAATCACAGATCTTTTGGTAAATGCTTTTAATAGACTGTTGGATCACTATTAATTGTTTAATAGGTCACTATTAATTGTTGGTTATTTATTACTATTTAAATTTGGGCTCACAAGTCCCCACTGCGTTAAGTGCTGGTATGCTGAGCATTGAATGTGGATATCATGAAAGACAGCCAGTGGTCTGAAGAATTTCCTATCTTTAAGAATCACATTCAAAGAATGTAAAGGTCTTCTCCGCATTTTATAAAAAAGCTTAGTGCGATTGAGAAGATTGCCTCCTGACTTGGCTGAAGTCAGTGGTACTGGCTGACTTTGATCAGGAGGTTACTTTACAGAAGTTAAGTGGCTTGTCTAAATGTATATTTTGATCGACCTGCATCTTCATTCACTGTCAGAAATGCAGAACAGTCAATTTTAAAAGGCATATTTTGATTACGGTTTTAAACACTGGAATCCAATTAACCCGAACATTTCTAATTTGTGTTTACAGAATTTTAGAGATAACTATCTTTTGCTGAAAAATAGTAGTGAGTCTTTTTCAAAACTGCATATGTATCTTTTGCCTCCTAACAACTGCTCTGGATGTGCATAGAGACAGAATAACAACAAAAGAAGTAAAAGATGGTTGTTTCTGCTGTTTGTAGAGACAGAAGTAAAAGGGAGATAATTCAACCTATTTCTAATTGCTCAGATCGGTAAAAAAGCTTCCTAATGAAAAACAAGTCTTATTATTTTATGCAACTATGACCAATATATGCCTACATTACAGGTCAGCCCTCCTGATGTTCTTTGCTTACCGGTGTTGAACATACCACGAAGAGACTTCAGCTACTTTACAGAAACAAGATTTATCCTGGAGGAATTGAATATCCCTGAGTCGCTCTATATCTTCCGAGATGAAATCAATTTGCACCAGCTGAATGATGAAGGGAAATTGTCTTTAACACTTGTAAACAGCAGCATGCTGACAAGGTATTATATTGTATATACAACGAGACAGTTTATTTGGGCTTATTTTAAAGTTTTTCTGAGTAAGATTTCCATGATATTTATGCAGTCCTTATTGCTTTTCTGTGAAGTCATAGAAATAAAGAAACTTAATATATATTTTTAATATATATTTGTATACATATTTATAGATACAGATATATTTAAAATATAGATAAATATAGTTATATTTATTATATATTTGTTTCATTATGCTCAGTGCATACACCAAACTAAATTTAGGCATCTTGCCATCACTTTTGATGGTCCTTTTTTTATTATTTTCTGTCTTCCCAGAACTTAAGTTAGATATTTTAATTTAGTTTAAATAATTGCTTGTGGTTAGTAAATAAGAGAACGGTTGTTTTTTCAGCTTCTTACTTGGCTTCCAGCAAAGGAATGTTGATCTGGAGGTGGCCAAAGCATATTTGCTGTTAAGATCTATCTAAGAGTAGATAAAAGTTTAATTGAGACATACTGTGGAGAAAAATACTGTCCTTAAAGAAAACCTAATCATTAAACACAGTGTGTTATAAATACATCCAGCAGTATAGAGGATTCTGCTTTCACTTCGTCAGGACTTTTTGTTTGGTTGCTAGGCTATTACAGTCTTCAAAACTGCAGCAGTTTTCTCAAAACATCCTCAGTGCCAAAGGCACAAAGTTCCTCTGTGAAAGATTGTATTTCATCTCCTTGTCCTTAGGAGGTAATCGCTAAATGCCCGGGTGAATCTTCTAGAGAAGGCTTCTTTATAAAGGTCTGCCTGTCTGTCTAGCGCGGAGAATGCTCTCTGCTTCCAACTCTCTTTAGAACTTCCTTCCTGATGAATATGATAATATTCCTTTCTATCTTTACTGATAGCTGTCCTGCTAGACTCCTCCCACTTGCTCCCAAAATGTGCTCTTCTACCCTGAGGGGTTTACAGACTTGAAGAAAAATAACTAAAATCTAAAATGAGATATATGTAATGAACTCATAGCCATTGATTCATTAACAACTACGATCAACTCAGTGCTTCATTCACTTCTGCAAAATAAACATTATTTGCAAGATTTGCGTTATATTTATTATTTTCTGTGTTTCTTTCTTTTATAGAATTACGATGTGCATTTTATAGTATTAGATCTAATTTGGCTTTGGGTTATAAGCAGAATCAGAAACTGAGCAAATGCAAAATAAAGATACTTTGTAGGCAACCAATGTATTAAATGGTGAAAATATCAAATCTCCTGTCTGTGAAGAGTGATAGTTTCAGTACACATATAAATAGGCTTTGGTAATTATAATTTTTAAAAGAATTTGGTAGAGTCAGAATGGAAACATTTAAGTTCTGTTGACATAGCAAACAATAAATAAACTAATTCTTTCATTCCAAAATTATACTGAGGCTGTGAAGGAGTTGATTACTTTTTTTTTGGCCTCATAGTAGAATTTCAATAAAAATAACCTTAGTATTATATCCTGACATTTTTGGAAAGTGTTTGGCTGTTAAAATCTAGTACTACCCAAATAAATAATATGTGTGTATGGGGATATTTAAAGATCAAGCAGTTGTAAAGAAAATCATATATAATTTTTTAAATTTACTTGATAGTGAGGATAAAAGTTTGGAATCAGCTGTTGTCAAAGTCATCAATCCAGATGAGCAATGTGATGGCAGCCTGGAGTTACAAGCATCTTCTTCCTCTCTAGTAGTAAAAGAGATTCTTCAAGAGGCACCAGAGTTAATCACTCAGCAACTGGCTTATCTCCTCAGAGGTGAGAGATTACTCTTTATATTAAATACTGAAAGGTTTAATGGAGTGTTTCTGAATCTGCTCATGCAGAAAGACTGTGATCCATTCTTTGGTTAACAATCCCTTTAAAGACCACGGGAAGCTTCATAAAAGAAGCAGGGAGTAAAGAGTTTGTTAAAGAGTAACATTATATTGGATATTAAAAATGTGCATTTAAAAATAGGCATGAGAGGTCTTTGCTGTATCACTAGACAAGAATATTAAATGGAGCTGTCGACATACCAGCTGGGTAGCTGGAATAGCTGTGCAGTTCCCACTTCGATTCCAGGGGCTGTGCAGTATTGACAGTTCGGCTCTGCCTGCCTGTGGACAACAGTATGGATGGGAATCTAATGCTTACATGTTAAAGCTTCTCTTGATGGTGATGATTTGTATAGAATCATGTTTTAGAGGTGTGATATGAAACTTGGCATATTCAATAATGCTGTCATAAAATCTTCATTAACACATTCCTTTTCTCCTGTATTGTTTGCACAGTACAGTGCAAACCAGTGAGACTTCTGTAGTCAGAAATATGCTCATTTCTGTCTTTGTAGTTTATCATTTGTATAATTTCTTGAGTTTCTGTGCTGTAACTCTTTAATGAAAAAAAACCTGAAGTTGTGAAGAACCAATTGCCGTTTTTGAGCTATTTACTGAATTTTACTATTGTTTACTGAATTTGAAAGGCAATAGCTTTAAATTGATGTAACCGTTAAATTTATTTTCAAGAAAGTAATTTGCACATGCTTAATAAGGATTATGAAGTCTTGCCTACACTTATGTTTAAGAAGCTACTGGATTCCTGGTTTGTCATTGTACTGACCCTCTGGTGGATGACGTAACGCCTATGTTTTGAAAAAGTACAAAATCTGATGTCTTCAAAGCCTTTTCTACGTTTCATTGAAGAAGTGTTAACAGTAACACAGGATCCAGCCCGCTGTTTTAGAACCTTCCCATGCTAATAAGACCCAATAAACCTGCCATGAAGTGTTTTTGTAATCTCCAAATTTCTGTTGAGTAGTTCTTTAGGAGTCTAGGCAAATGATCAAGCAAAACAATTTATATTTATGGCAGGACCTAGGAAGACATTTAAGATTCTCCTTAGATATCTGTTTGATGATGGAAAATGTCAGGAGGCAGTGGTTTGAATAGTTAACTAAAATGTACATGATATAACACTACATGGTAGTTAGTGAGAACGTCTTTTGGCTCTCTAGTTCATACCCAAATTGAGTACAGTACTTTTGTTAGAGAAATGTTGCAAGTTTTTGCATTAAAGGTTACAATTCCAGTTTTAAAGGAGACTTTTTTTTAATTAATAAGTTAATGTAAATTGTATCATTGGGTAGCAGACGTTTGCATAAATTTTTGAATTTATGGTTACCTGCCTTCCTGCATTTGCTTGGTGAGAAGTGGTGTGCAAAACTTAACTAAAAAAAGTGCATTTGTGACCTGATTTTTTGCTACTTCTCCCAGTAGCACAGCTGGTATTAGGTTAAGTAGCATGGCAAGTTCTGTTGCGCTTCCTGTAATAAAAAAAAAATTCTCCTACGCATAGGAACCTACCACTGCAAACTCAGAGATGTCAGTGAATCACATTACTGCTTTTGATAGCTTAAATATGTACATACATATATACATATATGTATTTATATATTCTGTAAATATATGTGGATGGAAGACCAAATCCATCAGTCTAAAACTAAAAGATCAAATGCAGCCAGTTCATATCCATCTGTTGTGCTTTTTTTTTTAATGCAGATTATGATCTGCATTATGGTCTGGATTACGCAGATCTTTTGCCAAATCTGTGTCCGTAAATTACTGTTTTGAAATCTGTTTCTGCAGAGAGCATAGAATATAGAGGGAGATATGGCCCGTTGTATTGTGATCTGGAAGCAGGTGTGGTTGCTTTGTTCTTACCACCAGCATGTTGGTGGATGGATGGATGTAGTTTACTGTAGCGGGATTGCCTAGTAATCTGGGGATATTTCTTAGGTGTAGAGGCACAGGAAAGGCTCCTGTTATGCTTTTTTATATTTTTCTGTGCTACTGTGTTGTTTTTGTATTTCTTGTGCCATTTTTTTTTGCATCAGTTTGGGAAAGCTCTGTAGTAGAGTACTGAAGTGTGTGTCTAGGTACTGAGAATTTGGATTTTATTTCCCTAAAAAGACTGAATGATTTTAGCCCTGAGCCTGAGTCTCTAAGTTGGAAATGGTTTGCCTTCCATTTTAATTTGGTCTTCTAGGGAATATTTTGCTATAAGACTTATAAGACAATAAAACAGCTCATATCTTAGTAAGTGTAATACAGTGGCTATAACAGTGTTGTTTGTTTTCTTTTTTGCGGATTTCTTTTCCTCACAGTCTTTTACTGATTTTATTAATTTTAATAATAAACTCAGATGTTTAGAAATGTTATAACCAGATGCTTAACCTGCACAAAAACAAGAAAAGAGGCATCTATGCAAAACTGAGCATTTTAGTCCATTTAATATTCAAGGACAGTTTAATATTTAGTCAGTTTAATATTTAATTTATTTTTGTTTTTCAAATGAATGCTTTCCTGATATTTGTCTCCTCTTCAGCCATTCTATAAGTTAATTCTACCCTTAGGCTTTGAATAAAGCCTGGTCTGCGCATCAAAGTGTTGTACAGTTATATTTGCCTTAAGTTAGAGCTTGTCCTGTCCCTGGCTTTGAGCCAGGAGCAAACAATTATAAAACCTGCCAGAGTCTTAGGCCTGTATTATTTTATTTCCCCAGAGATGTTTACAAGGGGACTGTTGCCAAACTCAAGATCCATTAAACTGCTGAATCATTACATTTTCTGTTGCAGCCAGCTGGCAAGGATGTGATTCCCAGCACTCACTGTCAGGTACCTTGGGTCAGCGCACTTGCAAAAATGCCTCCTTATGTTTATTTGTATAGAGCCTTGAAGGATGCCACAAGGTGCAGACTGCAACATGTAAATACAGATTTACAGCAAGACAGCAAAATATTTGTATGTGGACCTGCTTTTGCTGGTTATGCATTGTATTGTTGTGGCCTTTTTATGTCCGATTGGTGGAGTCTGACTTTCAGTAGAGAAGATTTGTTTATTATTCTAGCCACTCAGGCTAATGTTAAGAAATGTCCTTTTAAGGACTTTGGGAAGGTTGCCAATTTTTTTTTTTTTGTGCTGTCTTGTGTATCAGTAAAATGATTCACATGTTCTCTAGTTGGTTGTGAAATGCATCCCTAATATATTTGCAAGAAAGAAGGGAATATTTTAAATGCCATCAAACATTGTGCTTATTTGGACTATTATTTTTCTTGTTATGTATGGAAACAGTTTTCTTGGAGGCAACTTTCTTTTTCTTGCTTGGAAGATTGCATTTTATTACATTTTATTCCAGCTTTCCGACTTTCCTTTCAGTTACTATGAAGGCTGCTTGCTTGAGGGTTTTTATTTGTTTTGTTTTGCTTTGGGAGAGGAATGCCTTTCCATGAGGGACTGATGGTTTTCCCCTTCTCCCTATCCTTTTATTTTATCTCTATGTCATGGAACAAAATCTCGACAAAAGAGACATCTGTATTTTCATTTTACTGTTCCTTTCAGTGACAGACTTATCATTCAGGAGATGCTTGTGCTGTTCTTAATGTTTTCCCAAAACGACTTCTGCCTTCATTAGATCATGTTTAATATTAATGCATAGCAATTGCTTTTGGCAAAACTAGTGCTTCACTACCAGACTGCTTTGCAAAAAGAATAAAATGCATATTGTTTTTTAAGAGGCCTAGCTTATTTTCTAGTGACCTTTCCCTAGGAAAAGATATTGGTAATGTAGTGTGATATACACAAGAAATAATATTGAATCTTGTATTACCTGTTATATTTCATTTTTGCCTTTCTGTGCTTGCAAGCACACAGAGCAGCTTCTGCAACGCTTTCAGAAACCCAGGAAGAGTTGCACCAGCCCATTTCTGAGCCCATGCATCTTTTTTACATTGGGTACTTAAAACAGAGCACGTGACTGAATGGGCTTTGCACCCTTGGTCAAGAAAAAGTACTGGGAGTAAACAGGTTTTTTTAAACTACTTGGGATCCTAGTCCTCACAGGAATGCTGATGAATACAGTGTCTCAGTGATAGGCAGCAAAGACCTTTCTTTCCCGCTGACAAACGTATTGTAAAAGAATGAAGCAGGAATAAATGTTGAGTTTAGGAATTGCTGACACTCCGTTAATTTGAGAAAGCTTTCCTCTTCCTTCCATCTAAGCAGGAAAGCTGACAATACAGGAACTGCAGTGTTGCTGTGACAGGTCAAAAAATAGTGGTTTTTTTTGGTTTGTTTTGTTTTTTTTTGAGAGAGAGGTTTGCCTATGTTGAGGCATTGTTTCAGGAAAGACAAAATTTCTTTCTTGTAGTAAGTGCTTGATTCCTCAGCAAGTTTGCCATCTCACTGGAAAATGTCGTACCCGATCAAAGTATGCAAAAAAGTCTACCTGGAGAAGCTGAAAAATAAAAGGCCAAGGTTCCCTATTAGACGCTGGACTATAAAGCTTGTCTAAAAACTACTACAGTTCTGTGACTTTTCTCTGATTTTGTAACTATGCAGTAATGTGTGTGTCCCACTAGAGGTAAGATGGAATTCAGGACTGGTCTTCCCTTCGGAGAAATACAGACTTTGTCATATGTGTGATAACAAGAGTCAGATCCAAACTGTTGCCAGGACAAATGGAGGGTGGGCTGCTGCAGTATATATATTTCAAGCAATCTTTTCATTGCTTTTGAGTGAGGAAATAAATAAATATTGTACAACCCCCCTCTCCTCAATCCATATTTTTAGGAGATTTAAGTTGGTAGATTTTATTAGCAGAAACAATACTGCTGGAACAGTATGGTAGAGCTGTTATGGTATGAAAGAAATCCATATGCTTTTTCAGAAAACAGGCATTTAAGGGGAATTTCTCAGTGCTGCATAACTGGTGCGGTTGAGGTAGCCGTCAAAAGCACAGTCGGATACTGACCTGACTGTTAGACCCTGCCTTGTTGTTATCAGTGTTTTCTGCTGCACATGGAGAAACATGAAGCCGTTTTTTTGTCTTCTTCCTTCTTTCCCCTTCTCTGTCATGTCTCCCTAAACCCTTTTTCTTGGCCCCAGAATATCTGGGCTACCCTGGGACTGGTCTTGCCTTGAATTACACATTGTGTCTGTTCTAGATGTGATCATCACCTGCTTGAAATAACTGAAATAGAAGAAAGGGCTCGTAATCAATTTTATGTTATTGTAATAGCTGGGAAATTGATTCAGTGAGAAACACAGAAAAAAGTGTCTTAAATTCTAAGACTCAGAAACTGTTGACAATTCACTACTGTTGTGTGATTGAGCTTTTAGGAAGAATATAGTGCCTACCTTTTTCTTGTGGTTTAGTAAAAATCCAGAATTGATTGAGTAATGTAGTTATTGTTCAATTTGTAATCAGTCCTGTAATGAGGCTGAACTGATATGCAGTATACAGAATCAAAGTGATTCTGTAGTAATTCATATAGTAATTGTCTTAAAATGATGATAAGACTGACATAAATCCAGTAAGAGACAGTTGAAAATTAAGAGAAGATTGAAAGTTATCATATTTATAATAGAAACCCAGAGTGAAATTCTTATGTCTGAATTTCCAAAATGTAACATGTGATGGAGAAGATCATCTGGCTCATTAAACATTTTTCTTGATAAGGTTAATATACAAACAAGTATTTTGTAGGTAGTGTTTTGACTTTTTTTTTTTATTATTTAATAGTTGTCTGTCCATTTTTGTTTTTAGTGTCCTAGTTCTTACCTAATTACCAGGAAAATGATGGTTTCAGCAAATATCTGATGCTACAGTAGTATTTATGCTGTGCATATTTTATTACCATCTCAGTGGCCAAGGAATCAGCATGTCATGTTAGGAAATGTGAGGGCAATTGCTAGTCTAGTCAATCTTGTGAGAGAGGGTGACCATGTACAAGTTTTTCTTTTAATTTCTTGACTGTAATAAGTTTTTGATTTGTAATAACTATCTTCCACTACTGTTGTACCGGTTTATTATGCATGTAGAATGATGCAATAGGGTCATATAGTTGTTTGAAATCCCTCTACAGTAGTACAGTAAGAAATAATTTTAATGCTGAATGTAAATTTATTATCCTTAATTCACTGTGAGTAATTGGTAGAGAAGGTTATCTTTGCGTGTATCAATAAATGGAATTCCAACCTCCTGAGAGTTAAGAAGGTGACCTTGAATCCTTAAATCACAAAGAACCTTAACATCCAGGATGGAATATATAGGGTAAATTATTGTCTGATGTAGCTGATGTAGCTGATGTAGTCTGATGTAGTCTGATGTCTGATGAAGCTTACTTCTGGCTTGTAAGAGCATACCAATTATATGCAATAATTTAATGGACTATGCTTCTCTTAAAATTCAATGTGTCATTTTGTTTGGCTGAATGTACTGTTTTTTTTTTTCCTGTGTCCTTTGGCAGGGATACAACTAGAGTCCCTTGCGCTGAAATGACCAATGACTCATGTAACTTCATATTTATAAAGTTATTCAAAATGTTCTTTGTAAGTTTTATTCAAGGAGATTAAAAAGAATATTGGGGATAATTGCCATTAGAAATGCTCACTAGATGCATTTATAAAGTAAAACTATGTACTATCATTTTCTGAAAAGTATAATTGAAATGAGATCTGTTTTATTTCTTTGGGTTTGAGAGCTATATTGGTATTTGGTATATTATTATTTAACTAGTATATGGCTTGTGTATATTAGCAGTTCGTTGTTATGTCTGTAGAAGGAAGCTTAAGTGTGCAGATTTACCATTTCCCAGCTTTAAAGCTGTCTTCACTTTGGAGTTAATGTAATTTGATAATTCTCGGTATAATGCTTAGAGCAACAGCCTTGCTCAGGCCCCTTGAGACGTCCTGCTAGCAAATGGCCACACAGCAGAACTAGGTTAGACCTGAGCAATGTGCTGCACGCTGCAACTGACGTGGGAGCAACCAGATAGATGCAACACAGACGCTGGCAGGCCACACCGCTCAGATTTTAGAATCTAACTTCATACTAATAAGAACAGCACTCATTCTGTTATTCTGTGAACATGTCAGTGGAATCACGCTTCAAGAAAGAAAAGACTTGGACGCGGATGAAGCAAATATTCTTATTTCTCTAGTACTCCTTTGCTGTTTACAGGAGATACTGATTTTTATCTTTCAATGTTTCAGGAAGCATTCTCTTCAAGTGCATGTCTTTGGAGCCTGAGAGAATTGCAGCACAGCAGGAGAAAGTGCTGTCAATTCTGGAGGAAAAGTTTCCAGATCTGCCCCCACGGGAGGAAATTATCTCAGTTCTCCAGGAGAATCAGTTTAGCCCTCCAAGTAATGCAATTTATTTTCATTTTCCAGATATTTTATAAATCTAGTTATGCAACAGCATCTGAATAAGTTGACTTGTTCTATGTGATGAGAGTAGCTGAAACATGAGCACTTTCTTCATTCACAATTACATGTAATGGTAGTTAATTTTAGATTAAGGGATTGACATCTCAAACCTTGGAATTAGGCTCATGGACTTCTAAAATACTCACGAACTTCTAAAATACTCTTATATTGCTTTTACGGACAAGCAAATGTTAATTTATTTCACATATTTGTTTTTGCAAGAATATTTTAAATATTTGCCATAATGAAGTATGACCCAGAACTGGACATAACCACTGTATTAGCCTATGTGCAGGAATTGTGTTGGTATTACCTATGTGCTTTGAGAGTGGGTTTTATGTTTCAAATCTTCCCAAATCTTCAAATACAATTGATTTTTTTTTCATCTGTTAAGACTCTGTATAGATAAGTAAATTTGACTTCAGTCTAAGATTAAGGAAGGAGTGGGAAAACTGTACTTCTCCTTGATTCTCTTCTGCTGGAGAGGACTGAAGACATTTCTTACTTATTTGGTCATCAGAGCTGGGAGTGTTTGGGCCCCAAATTGATAACAGGTTTGGGAAGGAGTACTCTGAGAGCCTGAAGAAAGATGTTGCAGTAACTTTTTCACACTTTGATACTATGTTTTTAAAATGACATCACTGACTCATCACTGAGGCATAAAAAGTTTTGAGTTTCACACAGAAATAATGATTTACTGGCCTGAATTCATAAATTCATTGGTTATCTGAGGCTTAGTGGACTGTACTCTACAAGAAAGTCTACTGGCTACATATAAATATTTTTGAAAGGTCAGACTCATAAATATAATGAATACATGAACAATAGCCAGTTCATCTTGTCATTAGCTTGAATGCAGTAGCTGGACTCTATACAGGAACAGTAAGGAGTGAATTTATTTGTTTGGCTTAAGCATGTATTTGTCTTCCTTGTAAAAATCGCTTGCATGAACACGTTCTTAAATGTGCAGGTAAGCTTTATGATTCTACAGAAATTCTAGGTACCTGTTGACATTGAAACCTCTTTCATTGAAAGCTCTGGCGTGGAAGTTTGTTTATACAAATATTTGTGTGTTTTGTCTGTTTTTGACAATGTCATACGACCATGTTCCAAAATATATTTATATATTTATTTTAAGAGTATTTTGGACAGATATCATCCCTTAAAAGGACTTAACCATTGTGTGTTTGCAATATATCGTGCATAAGCATAACGCATCTGGCTAAATGATGAAGGAATTCCAATTTTACAGTCTGCTGATGATAATATGTACTTCTAATTCTATGGTGCATATGCATCACTGTTTGATTTGCACAGAAAGAACCCGTTGATGTTGATAGCAACTTGGAATATCAAAAAAGTTGAATGACTTTGTGTTTTCAGAATATCTTTAGTGTTCTGCCTTGGCATATACTATAAATATCATCATATAACACTTGTTCTTTTCAGTGTCTTTCTCCTTTCAGAGGTATTTCTTGTAGGTGACATAAGGATGGACTATGTATATATTTATCAAAAAATAGAATTTAGTGGACTTCAAAAATGTGAGTGTTCACACAACTTCATTGCAGGAGACTTAGTTCTTCATCCTTTTCTCTTTGTTTTTAAATAATTTCCTTGCTTCAAATAATACCATTGGAAACATCATACATTGATATATTAATGCTGGTTTTAGTTTTCTCATAAAATGTCCTAAAAACCAGAAGACTACTATACATTTTACATATTATACATACATAATATACAAGATTCAAGCTGTGTTCTTAACTCATGTTGTTGAGTCTGGTTAGCTGTAGATCCTTGGGTATAATGAATTTTTTTATTTTCTCAAACAGGCATAAGTATTGAGGAGGTTATGCTGAAGGATCTCAAGGAACTTTCAGATGGAGAAATCAAAGTAGCAATTAGCACTGTGTACATGACACTGGAGGTAAGAGAAAACCTGAACAACAGAGTTGGTGAACAGCTATTTCAAAAGGAAACAGTTCTTAACAAAGATTTTGAGCCACTTATTTTTTCAAGACTATATGTAAGCAGAATTTTCATTGATATATTTAATTTTGAGGAATGCAATAGCTACTTGAGGTTCGACTTTCTTCAGTATTCCTTCTGGTAAGTCTGTACCATGTCATGTTAAAACAATGTCGCTGACAAACTGCAACCTTAGGTGAATTGAAGGTGTGAGATATTATACCATTTCTTCAATAGATTGTTTGGGCTAGGACTTTGTCCTACCTTTCACTTGCATCCAGACATGCAATTTATACAACTCATCTAGCTCACTGTTGTCTATGTGTCTTATTTTTTGTTTGCATCAAAACCGCAGATTTGTCTTAATGGAGGTAGGCTGCTTGGATTTTCTTTGTTGATTGGTCTCAAGCATTTTATAACTGTTTAAGTAAAAGTCCTGTGTATTATGTTTTGTATCCTTATTTTGAGACAATTTGTATTATGGATTTAAGTAGCTATATGCTATTTAGCTATATGTTATAGCTATAGTGACTGTTATGTGAAAATGTTTTAGCTGATTGAATAAATATGGAATAAAAGTATTACTTCTCATGGGAGTTTATATGTTCATACAACAGTTTATCATGAGAGGAAGCAGATTGAGGCAAATATGAGTGAAAGAGATGCACTTTTAAACACAATATCTTAGCAATATTTTTGATCTGACAATTTTTCCAGAAGTCATCCATTCCTGAGTAGCTGACATGCAAAATAAGTCATCTTCTTGTGCTTTTCCATGTAACTTTAAGACTGTCTTTTCAATCCAACAATATTAATCACTGCTTGTTTCCCATGAGAGTTGTTATAAAATGTTTTTTGTGATGCATTTTACAAAAAAAACGGTGCTTTTGAGGCTGAAGGAGTACAACTGAGCTGATAATTATCCACAGATTGCTGCTTTCTTGTCTTCAGTTCGCATATACACAAGCTGAGTAGCAAAATGTCAAGAAATGAAGTAGAATCTAATTAGTTTCTTGGTGCCGAGCTATCTTCACCAACCACTAAACTCCTTTATGAACCCTAATTTGGACCCTGTATTCCTGAAAGCTAATAAATTTGCATACTCTTTTCAGTAACTGTATAGCATTTGCTGCTGGTAGATCAAAGAAAGTATTGAGATTTGATGCTCAAGCAATAATTTTCACAGCTGTTTTTATTAGGACATATCTAGAGGCTATGGAGGAAGAGAAAGGAGGATGAACTGCATGTAAAGAGAATAAACAATGACCAGAGTTTTACAGAAGTTAATTGATTTTTCAAAGGAATTTTATTGTTAGAATTTTTGGTGGGATTTACTGGGATCTGGAGAACTGCGATATCTCAAAAGCTGTTGTAGTGTGAATAATTGGTATTAGAAAATCTACTTTTTGAAGATATATAAATGCTTTTTTTCTGGTTACTGTTTACAAAGTCATGCTTTGGACCCAAAGGTCTCTTAGTTTCACTCTGGGATTGGAGATTAGTTTTGTGTTTACTGTGCTGCTGCGTTTTGTTCCGATATTTTCTGAACTCTGTGATTTATAAGGCTTAACCAACACAGGACAGATTTTGCCTTGTTCTTAGTAGCGGTCAGGGATAGTATGGTGTGCACTATGGTGAAGCAAGTGGCCTGTAAAAATGTTCTGTACTAGTTACTTTCCACTTTGCCCAGTATTTGGAGTGTACTACATGTAATGGAATTATAGACAAAACTGGATGTGAATCTCTGGTCAGTTTAGATTTCTGTTGTGAACTGAGAGTATACAGAGACCTCAACAGACTTTAAAAAATTCTCAGATAATAATGATTGTAATTTGCTATCCAGCTACAAAGTACTGTGGAGTCAATACTTAAACACTAAGGGAATGTGAAGCACAAGCTCAGCTTTGTTGTAGATGTTGGATCTCTAATGTGTTTGCTTATTCAGAAGTCTCGCATGGTCAAGTTGTTTTTTAAATGAACGGCTATCCTAAAACCTTTCATTGATATGTTTTTCGTAGACTCGATTATTTCCTTTAGTTCGACAGTCCAATACTGTTTTTTTCTTCTGTTCCATAGGTGATACTGCAATGACCAAAGTTGATAATTATACCTAGTGAGGTGGTATCGAGGGTCCAGGTGGTATAGAGAGGATCCAGCGTAGAGCCACAAAGATGATTAAGGGACTGGAACATCTATCTTATAAGGAAAGACTAAGCAAGCCGGGCCTGTTTAGACTGGAGAAGAGAAGGCTGAGAGGAGATTTGATCAACATGTTCAAGTACCTGAGGGGTGATTTTAGGGAGGATGGGGCCAGGCTCTTCTCTGTGGTGGCTGGGACAGGACAAGAGGTAGCAGGTGTAAGTTGAAACACAGGAAGTTCCACCTCCATATGAGGAAGAACTTCTTTTCTGTGAGGGTGACAGTTGTAGAACACGCTGCCCACAGACTCTGTGGAGTCTCGTTCTCTGGAGAGCTTGCAAACCCGCCTGGATCGAACCCTATACCATGTGCTCTAGGTGTCCCTGTTGGAGCAGTGCAGTTGGACTAGAATGATCGCTAGAGATCCCTTCCAACACAGAATGGTTTCGGTGATTCTGTGATATTTGTTAGACTTAATATTTTGGTTCTTGAAAAAACAGGGTTAGTAGTTGGTGATTGCCTGCTATTGACTGTTAAAGATGAGAGAATATGTATTTTCCAGGTTGACGGGAATATCTGAAAGCTGGCTGGTCTGCTGAGATACTTACTCATGCTTCTGACTATGATATCTCAATACTTCATAAGGCTAGTTTCTAGGTTTTGCAAAGACAGCATGGCTTTCTTCTGGTGCTGATAATCCTGCCAGAGCCAAGTGTGTCTTGAGAGAGGCTATTGTGGCTTTCAGCAATGTTGATTTTGAAGCCTTGCTGAAACATGCAGGCTATACAATTTCTGTAACATTTTATTATGGGAAATTCAGAGCCACCTCTAAACAGGTGACAACCAAGAGATTTGGAGGAAATGTGTAAGCCTCACTGAAAGCTGCATGGAGCTGCCACAGAAAAATGACTACAAGTTCATAGTGGCCCACAGAGTAGGACTGTCCTAAGGAAGGCTGTGGCTCATGCACCGTGGTCCTTCTTTATTGCTGAGTGTCTTAGAGAAATTTGCAGGAGCTGTGAGAACAAGTCTGCCTGAGAAAATTTAGACCTATTTGGGAGCCCATTTGATCTGCGTCCTAGTGAGAGAGTAGTCTAATTTCAGAGATTTCAAGAGATTCTCTTTGATTTTCAAACTATTTCTGCAAAATGTCTCAAAATTTTATTAATGGTAGCAACAGGGTCTACAGCTTGCTTATTTTGGCAAATATATCTGATTGTTATGATGAGTATTTTTTTAATACTTCTGTAAAGCAAAGCAAGTAACTGTCTCGACAGGAGTAGGTCAGATGTGTTAAGCTAGGTCTGCTATTGCACACATTTAAAAGAGACTGCAACATATTTGTTGGAAGGGTTGAACTTTTGTTGTCTCTAATGATCAGACTGTAGTTTTGTATCTGGGAACTTTATTTCTTTCAGGATAAATACAAACATATTTTAAATGGCATCAGATTGGTCCATGAATTTGTTTTTAATGCTAAAAGCAAAACAGAAGGAAAAAGAAACAAAACAAGTAAACATGGTAACATTTAATCTTCCAGTAATGCAATTGGAAACAAAATTCTCAGCAACTTACAATGGCAGTGTTGTTTGGAGATATTTTTCTGGTGCCTGTTGTGAGAAGTTAGGGTATGTAAAATAAATGATGTATGGAGCTGTAGGATGCGACTTTTGCAGACTACCTTATGTCTAAGGAACATTAAACATAGGGTTCTCGTTTAGCAAATAAATAACCATTCATTTCAATGGCTGCATAGTCTGGACTTTTCTGCATATTTTTGCAAAGATGAGAAGAGGCCATTAGGGATTTAATATAAAATAAATCGCCAAGGGGTCTTCTTGTAGTCCTAGTCTTTCTGCCACATGGTGTGTCACTAATGTGCATAAATGGGCTTAAATGAATTTGTTATCTGTATTGCATTTGCAGTATGTATATATTTATATATTATTTTTTAATTGTGTTTAAAAATAAAGCATTAAATACATCATTTCTGAGAGTTGAAAACATATCATTTGTAAATAAATCAACCTTAATTAAGGTCTTAAAATGTCAGTGTGTGTGATCTGCCTGTAGGTAAATGAGTAACATATATAGTAGAGAGAGCTTAAATATACTTTCTTTTGCATTTCTAGAAGTATTAAGAGACTAAAGTCATCACCTTATAGGACTGGATGGTGCCGTAAAAGATACATTAATGTCAATATCATGCTTACATTTAAATGTCAGAGTCCAGGGTTCTGGAAGCTGGGAGCTGTTTTCTGTTGATGCCTCGGGTCAGATTTGGTAGCACAGTTGCAGTGAATACAGTCCCAGGTGGGGAGGGCAGAGACAGACCTGCTGAATTCCCTATTATAATTATTTATTCTGCTCTGTGGATATGAAAGGGAACTGGTGGGCAGGCAGGGAGAACCTTAGATAATGTTGAAGTGTTTCTTATCTGAGTAGTGTGAAATCAGAAGGCAGCTTACAATGGTTTTTGTTGTAATGGTTACCAGTATTGTTTGCTGTGTTAAAATCAAGACCATACCCCTTCCAAAACTTGTGTCTGGACTCAAAGGGGTGGTATGATCTTAAATTTCCTACTCAGTGAGATGTATTCTGCAAGAAATCTAGGATACTAGACAAGATGTTCAGTAGAGTTTCTTGAATAGTTTAAGAAAGTAACTTTGTAAAACAGAACACTACCATTATATTTATCAGTAAGTCCAACTTGGCCTGTGCTTAAAGATGTTGTGATAATGACAATAATGTGATAATAATTCAACACTAATTTTTAGAAGGTGTAGTTATTATATTATTCTATACTGCTGTCATCAAACA